ACACAAGTAACCATATGCCACGGATCAAAAAACAACAACGAAGCCACAATCCACAGCACATACGTTGACATCAACGAAACAATCATCGAAAAGAACTGATGGTTCTGAAATATAGACCGAAAACTAAAATCATTATCTGCCGTCTCCGCCTGAATCGATTTCACCGTGATATATATCGCCGCGAACGTGAGGTATATCATTATCCCGATCCAGAAATAGACCATCGTCATGTAGAATTTGTTGGAGCCCTGCGGTCTATTACCCAGCGCGAGGATGAAGGAGGTGGCGAGGGTGACTAGGTAGAGCCATTCGAAGATGACGCCGAGGACACGCCCGACTTGACCGAGGAGATTGGCGGCGCTGAGGGATTTGGTGAGGATGTGGAAGACGAGGAAGAAATTGCCCTGGCAGAAGCATGTTAACATGGGTTTCCTAAGACACGGGGAGGAGGGGGATAAAACTCACGATAGCAAACCACGCAAAAAGCATATTAATAGTCTGATAAACAAACTCAATTATAAACATAAACTTCCTCGTAAAACTATGCCGACTCCTAAAGATCTGATAAAAATGCGTAATCGCATACACCGCCGCGAAGAAACTACCATTCAACCACCGCCGTCTCTGCAATATAAACTCCGCCATCCGATCAGGCACATCTGTCTCCCCCGTCGATGATTTCACATACTGCAACAACCATTGGCAATTCCGCTTCGCAACGAGCTCAAAGCACAATATCCGGTCCTCGGCCAGGTACATGTTTGCCGTGAATATGCCCGCGTTGGCACCGTGCATCTTCTCACCAGCGAAGTATTTTTCCAGCGGGCCCTGGCCATTCTTGTCGTTCTGTAGCGCGACATAACGGTATGCGGAGAACGCGCCGGGTAGCACGGAGATGAAGCCGAAGGCAGACTCGAGGGGTTTATCGAGGATGTTACTCATTTTATACTCGAAGTTCTGCGCCGCGACGAGAGGGTTGATCAGTCTCTTGCCATGCGATAACATCGCTTTAATCTCCCCGCAAGCACCGCCGCACATGGGCTGTAAATCAAAGGCGCGCCAGAGATGATAAATAGAGTCCTTCCCGGGCTTCGTCCCCGCATCCAGTA